GGGGTAGTGAGTTCCAGAGGATGGGGGGAGGACCTGGAGAAGTCTTGCAGTCGTGCGTGGGAAGAGGAGACCAGGGAGCAAGACAGAAGGAGGTCCTGTGAGGAGCGAAGGGTACGGATAGGGTGGTACCTGGGAATCAGGTTGGTGAGGTAGTTAGGGGCAGTGTTGTGAATGGCCTTATAGGTCAGGTGAGCAATTTGAATTTAATGCGTTGGGCAATGGGGAGCCAGTGGAGGGAGAGGCAGAGGGGGGTGGCAGAGGTGGAGCGGTTGGTGAGGTGGATGAGTCTAGCCGCTGATTCAGGATAGTCTGAAGCGGGGAGAGCCTGCACTGGGGTAGGCGGGTGAGGAGGGAGTTGCAGTAGTCAAGGCGTGAGATAATCGGGGAGTGTACAAGTAGTTTGGTGGTGTCTGGAGTAAGGAAGGAGCGTATCTTGGCGATGTTGCGGAGGTGGAGCCTGCATGTGTTTGTAAGTTTGTAAGCCATAACACCTGCAAAGGGTTCCTGAGCCTTTAAATGGTCTCTCAGTCTGGTTCAGTAGGAATCACAATCATGGGAAAGACTGCTGACCTGACAGTTGTGCACGATATTCTAATTTTACGAGTTTCACCTGTACACACACACAAATCCTCTCACCTCCCTCTGTACACAGGGCTCCACACCTAATTTCAATAAAAAAGACAAGGAAAAAAAAAAAAAAAAAAGAATGTACGGTTTCTCTCTTCTTTAAATTTAATTTTCATAAATTTTATTTACATTTTATTTAATTATAAAACAAAGACTGTACATTTAAAAAATATAGATCATCAGTTTAAAAACATTAAAACATTTGACCCCAAACCATTTTTTGTTCCTATAAGCTGCAATTTCTAACCTCCTGAACCTTCTAGATGTCACTGGCAAGTGAAGTCAGAACTCTGCATGTCTCCAGTCTGTGACTGAAAAGCAATGAAGCCTCAGGATCTGCTTCACAGCCAGGAGGTAAGTAACAGCAGCCTTTGTCTTTCTTCCATGACAGTTTCCTGGTTTGAGGCCATTTTTTTTTTAGACTTCAAATTTGCAAACTGATGTTTTCTACTCTTTATGATTACTTGTATAAAATCTATACTTCACATATAAACACCACAAGACATGCCCATGGCACAGAGTCTGTTAAATTTCCAAGAAGACTGTTTATATGTATAATAAAGCGGCAAAACCACAGATGGGTTAAAGCCACATCTTCCTTGTGACACCAGTAAAATAAAATCCTACATTCTAGAATACCCAGATGGTGGGTGAGAATAATGTGTTTTCACTTTCAGTGGAAAATCCATTTAAAGCTGAACTCCAGGCAAACACTTAGGCTACGTTCACACTGATCTGCAGCAAATGCAATGCATATGCATTTTTGCCACGTTTGTGATGCAATTTGCGTGGGACATGTGACAAATGTATAAAAACCACAACACGGATGCATTTTTCATGCAATTCAATGGACAGGTGCGTTCTTGGTGCATTTTTTTTTACTACACAAAACATTCATCAAAAATGCAGCAAGCAGGAGTTTACTAAACAAAGTGGCCCTGCAACGAATCAGTGTGCTAAGTTCCATAGGATTACACAGTCACACGTTTAATCCACAAGTGGAAGAAAAACAAATCAGTGTAAAAGCAGACTTACGGCTTGTTCATACAGTGCGCACAATAAACAGCAGTGGTTTAGTGTGTAGGAAGCTCTCAATTCTGGTTGCAGTGAGCCAGAGGTGGATATCACACAGCATCCCCCCAAAAGTGACACATCATTCATGTTACTGTATAGCAGCATGGTGCATTCTGCTGCTGTACAGTGACATGCGATCCCTTCCTGCATTTGTCTGCATTTTAGCACAGCTCACTACACTCCCGGGGTGTGTTTTACAGTGTAAACAGGACACATGGAAAACAATTGTTTTGTGTGCCCCCACGCTGACCTGCGTTCATCCGCTGCAGTAAAATGCAGGTCCCCATACTATGTGAACAGGACCTTACAGTCATGTGATAAAGTATGTACACCCCATGAAAACTGCTGACTTTTTCAACATGTAAGAATAAGGAAACATTAGACCTTCACTCAAATGATGCTTACAGATAAAAATGATATACGTGAACAAATGTTGCATAAAACAGACAAGGTGTATCCATTTTCATGATCTAAATCAGGGGTCTCCAAACTTTTTAAATAAAAGGGCCCGTTTACTGGCTTTAGAGGGGCAAAATGTAGCCACCAGGGGTAGAAAATGTCCCAGCATCAGTTGGAGTAAACAATGCCCCATCCTTGGTGTCATTGGATGGAATTGTGCCCCATTATTGGTGTCATTGGGAGGAATTGTGCCCCATTATTGGTGTCATTGGGCTCCACTGTTGGTGTCATTGGTAGGAATAGTGCCCCATCATTTGGAAAAATTGTGCCCCATCATTGGTGTCATTGAGAGGAATTGTGCCCCATCATAAGAGTCATTGGGCCCCTTTTGTTGGTGTCATGGGGAAGAACTGTGGCCCCTGTTTCCTATTGTAACTGTAATGACTACCTTCATTTTGTAAAGCGCTGCGCAAACTGTTGGTGCTATATAAATCCTGTATAATAATAATAATTGGTATCATTGAGAGGAAGTGTGCCCCATCATTCGTATTATTGCAAGGAATTGTTCCCCATCATTGGTAAGAATTGTGCCGTGTCATTGGGCCCCATTGTAGGTGTCATTGGGAGGAACTGTGCCCCATTGTTGGTGTCATTGGCAGGAACTGTGCCCCATTGTTGGTGAATGAAATAGTGCCCCAAGGGCCAGATAAAGGCAAGCAAAGGGCTGCATCTGGCCCCTGGGCTGCAGTTTGGAAACCGCTGATCTAAATGAATGAAAATGCAGATTTGTCAGATCTGTTCCAGATTAGGTGTCAATGATTACAATCTGTTGCCATGTATGTGCAGCTGCAAATGGGCTACACAGCCCACACACTGCATATATGCATCTATACGTGGCAGAAGTTTATGTGCTGAGGTTTCACAGCAGAGAGACCAAACTGTCAAATACTACACTCAGTTTGTACTAATGATCAGGAACCAGCTCCCGAACATGTGAGCACAGTGGTCACAACTAACCTTCCTGCCCCCCCCAGGTGTACAATCCCAGTTAAAGAGATGTCAGGGCAGATGGGGAAGTGTTAAGGTAGAGGTAGGCAGATGAAATCTGTATTATATAAACTTCATGCATCTAGGGTTTGGGGTTCTCTTTGCTATTAACATGTAATGTCATTATGCCATATAGAGCTCTCTATGACCCTCAGAAAAACTTGTGGATGCCTATGAGTCTGGCAAGGGACTTAAAAGATCACCAAGTTAAATTAAACCAAACATTGCACTCAAAGGAAAATAATCTAAAGTGGCGCAGATTTCAAAACAACTGATAATTTTTCTGGACCGGCCAGCCCAGCAAATTCAATCCAAGACCTGCCTGTTTGGCGCAAAAATAAGTCTTCCAAGTACCCTAAAATTTCACTGCAGGATCTGCAGAATGAGACAACCAATTTAACCTCTATGGGAGGTGTGTTAGGAAAAACAAACCTTTACTGCCTAAAAAGAAAATTACAGCAAGATTACAGTCTCCTATGAGCATGTAGGCAAAGACCCAGCCTGCCCTAGATAGCGGCCTGGCTTGAATCCCAGTGAAATTTTGTAGGGGATTTGAAATGGGCACTTCATACAAGGAAACACACAAACATTTTGTAACTGAAAGAATTTTGCATGGAGGAGTAGTCGAAAATGTCCTTGAATTGATTTCAGAAACTGATGGGCAGTTAAACAAAATGCCTACAAGAAGCCATTTCTCCAAAGGGGGCAATACCAGCCTCTGGTACCAAGAGTGTACATACTGTTCTCACAGCACACAATTACATTGATATTTTTGTGGAATACATTATTGAAAAGGCACATTTTTCTTGTGTTATTACTCAAGTAGACCATCTTTATCTGAAGGCACTACTTGAAAAAAGATCTAATGGTTGCAGTTGAATATGTTGAAACAGTCAACAATATCAAAGGGGTACCGTTTGTTTTTCACATGACTGTAAATAAATAGATGAAATACTACAAAGGAGCATTTATCCGACAAAGGATTTGTATTTCTGTGTATACACCCCGAGATATCCACAGCCGTGCCAATAGCATAGCCAGAGAGATGACACTACTAACAGTTAATGAATACAAAGGTGTCTTCTCTACACCCCCAACCTGCCAAAAGCATAGTGAAAGAGCAACAGCAGACCAATAATATTCCTCATCTCACTCTGCTATCTCCTATCAGCATGCTCTCTGTCAATGTATCTGCATGCAAATCACTTGATTGGTTCTCAGACTTAATGCCGCTGTGCAGGGGATTGGCAAGGGGATGATACAAAGTAACAGTTACCTACACTGGTTGTAATATAAAATAAAATCAAAATCATTTCACATTTATGTTGTTATTATAAAATTTTACAAAGTAAAGTCCTGCAATATTACATGTTTTTCCCCTCACACTACATTATATATAAAAGTGTTTTACTCAAGTGAGAATGTGTGCCATCAAACCAGTATTAGTAATGAAAACAAGATGCGTTGTATTGTTTTCAATACAAATAAAAAGGAACTTCAAAATACGTTGGATGAATCAGTTGAATTTTAGTGGGCCTAAATTTCAATATTAAAAGAAAATCAGTCATGATTATGTTTATGAAAAGCCATGAATATTCAGTTATAAAATTTGTAGGTTTACCTAGGATAGAATGAATACATCAGGAAAGAAGGTGACTGTGAGGAGACTCAAGGAATACGATCACCTCCATATTAATACCAATGCAGGCTGCACTGGGAAATACCTGAGAAACACGGTTAGATGTGCAACAGTCATTCATGAAATACCCAATACTTGTCAGCCCAGTACAAGAATAAAGCGAAGAGGACTGTGCCTTCGCTGACCAGCAGCTGGCTAAGCCAGACCGCAGCGACTAGAGATAAAGGTTCAGTTTTGTTGTGACAGTTTTGCAACCTTTATCAGAAAAACATTCGAGTATTCTTAGGGAAATAAGTCATCTCATTGGCCAGACGGGATGCCAGCTCTTCATTGGGCATTTTTCCCCGATGTCTTAGCTCCGCCATGACGCACTGCTTTACATGTCTGTGCTCCAGTGGTAGAAAAGGGACATAGAAGTCAATCAAGTTCTTGTCAATCAGGCTGCTGTGCCAAAAGCCACCTGGGGATAAAAACAGTGGATTAACAGTAGAATGAGTCATCTGATCAAACATTCAATGAAAATATAATTTTATTTAACCACTTCTCTACGGGGGCATTTTTTAATGTTTTAAACATAGTAAAATCTGATTGGATTTTTTTTGCTAGAAATTACTTTAAACCCAAAGACAATTATATATTTTCTGAGAATAAAACAGTGGCAGCTGCAATTGTTTGCACAATATTTGTCAGATGCATATTTTCAGAAAAAAAATACTCTGAATTGAATTTTAATGCAAACAAATACAACATAATATCGAATATGAAAATATAAAAGACAAGGTTGCATTGAGTAAATAGATACCAAACATTGTCAAACCTTAACCACTTCCCGACCGGCCGTTGCATATAAACGGCCGGACGGTGGCAGTGCAGGGTCGGGTGGCCGTCTATAAACGGCCTCCCCGCACCCTGCTTGTGCGCACTCCCTGGGAGCGCGCAGCACCGCGATCCGATGCCCACTGTGTCCTCCGGACACAGTGAAACACCGATCGTCGGACGGGACCTCTGTACGAGGTCCTTATCATGTGATCACTGATTGGCCAATCAGTGATCACATGCAAAGTAGTAAGCAAGATGTCACTTGTTACATCATTGCTTACTATGTGTGAAATCTGTGAATGATCACAGAGGTCACATGGTACAAGGCTATTCACAACAGCCTTGTACCATGTGGCAAGCTGTGACCAATCACAGCTCACTCAGTACTTCTCAATGAATGCACACAGAGAGAAAGAGAAATGATTGCTTTTACATCCTATATGGGTGTAAAAGCAATGTAAAAGCAATCAGTGTAAAAAAAACAAACAAATCATCACACCCCATGGTGACACTGTACTGCTAGGGTGACAGTATGTAAAAATAAATAAATAAAAAATATAAAAAAATAAAATAAAAATGTAAAAAAAAAAAAATGTTTAAAAATTATAATTTTTGGTTATAAACCAATTTGGATTTTTTTTTTTTTTTACTAAAAAGATAAACGGAATACATTTTGGCAAAGATTTATGATGAAATATTTATTTGCAAAATTTAAAAAAAAAAAAAAAAAAAAAATTTTCAAAATTTTTGGACTTTTTCATTTACATAGCAAAAAAAAAAAAAAATCCCAGCGGTGAATAAATACCACCAAAATAAAGCTTTATCTGTGTCAAAAAAAATGGTAAAAAATTCATTTGGGTACAGTGTTGCATGACCGCGCAATTGTCATTCAAAGTGTGATAGCGCTGAAAGCTGAAAATTGCCCTGGTCAGGAAGGGGGTAAAATTAGATGTGCCAGTGAACAACTGTAAAAAAGCATTGTAACCAAAATTCTCTGTACAGGTTACCAGTTTAATAGTAAACCGGAATTGTGGTTCTAGATTTATTGCAATCACTCTGATGGTTGTGGAGACACCGCACATGTCTAGTACAATTTATGTTTACATAAACATAACATGCCCTATGCTGTCTACCTGACGGCCTCCTGGACCGATATCAAGCTTCCTTGATGACTTCTCTGCCTGGCTGCCTTACTTTCTCTCTTCTGAAATTCCCACAATCATTCTTGGTGACTTCAACATCCTTGTTAATCTTAACACTCATGCTACCTCTAAACTTCTGAGCCTAACCACTTCTTTTGACCTAAAACAATGCACACATGCTTCTACCTACCTATGCACTCCTTGCAACCTCTCCAACCTTCTTTTTCCTCTCTGATCACTCCCTTATTAGCTTCACTCTCTCCTTGGCTTCCTCCTCCTTGTTTTCCAACTACCGAACAGTTACCCATAGCAACCTTCGCTATCTTAACCCTTCTCTTCTTTTTTCGGCAACAAAATCTCAGCCCAGTCCTGCCCACTTCTGTCTACAACAGTTCACTGTCATCCACCGTGGACACATTGGTCCTCCCCCCTCACTACACACAGAATACTGACCAATCAACATGATGGACAGCCTCACTGGTTAACAAGTATGGAAACAGTGGTCAAGCTCAAGTACAATGAGGAAATTCTGAAGCATTGCCCAATCAGAAGAAATTGGCATTCAGGCAAAGCAAATGAATTTAAAAGCTGCGGCAGTTATGCAGGTGAGGACTGGGCAGGTATGGGCACCCCAGAGTGACTGCATTGAATACCGGTCAGCAGTTTGAAGTTTTTCCAAGTGAAAAAGTCCTATTAAAAGTACTTCTCAAGTCAAAGCAATAATAATAATGCAAGCTGTCTCCCTGATAAATGTCTTTTCTATGCAACCAGTCCTCTGCTCTACCAAAGTTTCATTACTCTGAAGCCCAAGACTCCCCTTAAGCATTATGTTAATCCTGAAAATCCACCAGTGAAAAACGTATTGAACATGTGAATAAAAGAACAGGTGGAATCCTTGGTATGCCTGGTGCTGGGCTTTGACTTGTTCTTGAGGTCATAAGCTAGAATAATGACCTGCAGAATCCACCTAAGGAGAGTAAAGCAACGAGAAGCAGGCTGTCCCTATGGGGAACTACAGGAATGACAAAGTTGGACTGTCAAAAGGGAGCTGAAGATGAAAAAAAAAACTCGAAAACTGGAGCAGGACAAAGATGGTAGAACAATGTCACAATGTCACCCTTAGGGTGGAACAGTACTAACAGTAAAGAACTCCCAAGGGTTGAAACCGCTTCTCTCCAATTTCATTGAGTGGCCATGTGTCTTCATAAGCTCCCTGAAACTGAATAGCTACCCCCCCATGCTAGAATCACTATTCTCGCCCTTCTCTGGACTGTCTCCAGTTCGAGCACATCCTTCCTGAGGACTGCTGATCAGAACTGGATGGCATACTCAAGATGTGGCCGAGCCAGAGTTTTGTAAAGTGGTAGAATTATAGTCTTATCCCTTGAGTAAATACATTTTTTTTTCATGATAAAATTCTGCTTGCTTTGATCACTGCAGCTTGGCATTGCATGCCATTCTTGAGGCTGTGATCTACTAAGACCACCCAATCTTTTTCCATCCTGGATTCCCCCAGATGTTCTCCCCCCTAGCAAGTAATTTGCATTCATGTTTTTGGCCCCCAAGTGCATTACTTTACATTTTTCAACATTAAACCTCATTTGCCGTATAGTTGCCCACCCCTTTATTTCATGGAGTTCTTCTTGTAAAGTTTCTACATCTGCTGTAAAATTATTGTCCTGCTTAGCTTTGTATCATCAGCAAACACAGAGATTGAGCCATTTATACCAACCTCTATATAATTTATGAATAAAATAATTGGTCCCAGGACAGAGCCTTAGGGTACCCCATTTACCACACCAGACCATTTGAAGTACACTCTATTTATCATCACACTTTGGACACGCCCCTGTAACCAGTTTTCTATCCAGGTACATACCCTATGGTCTATACCTCAATTTGTGAATTATGCTTTTTATGGGGGACTGTATTGAATACTTTTGCAAAATTCAGATACACCACATCCACAGGCCTTCCTTAATCTAGATGGCAGATCACTTCCTCGTAGAATGTTAATAGATTGGTCTGGCAAGCACGATTTTTCGTAAATCCATACTGATTACTACTTAAACGGTTTTCATCAGCAAATTCTTGGATATAATCCTTATCATCCCCTCCAATAGTTTAAAAATGATCGATGTTAGACTGATTGGCCCATAGTTTTCAGCTATATACAGTCAGGTCCATAAATATTGGGACATCGACACAATTCTAACATTTTTGGCTCTATACACCACCACAATGGATTTGAAATGAAACAAACAAGATGTGCTTTAACTGCAGACTGTCAGCTTTAATTTGAGGGTATTTACATCCAAATCAGGTGAACGGTGTAGGAATTACAACAGTTTGCATATGTGCCTCCCACTTGTTAAGGGACCAAAAGTAAATGGGACAGAATAATAATCATAAATCAAACTCTCACTTTTTAATACTTGGTTGCAAATCCTTTGCAGTCAATTACAGCCTGAAGTCTGGAACGCATAGACATCACCAGACGCTGGGTTTCATCCCTGGTGATGCTCTGCCAGGCCTCTACTGCAACTGTCTTCAGTTCCTGCTTGTTCTTGGGGCATTTTCCCTCCAGTTTTGTCTTCAGCAAGTGAAATGCATGCTCAATCGGATTCAGGTCAGGTGATTGACTTGGCCATTGCATAACATTCCACTTCTTTCCCTTAAAAAAACTCTTTGGTTGCTTTTGCAGTATGCTTTGGGCTATTGTCCATCTGCACTGTGAAGCGGCGTCCAAGGAGTTCTGAAGCATTTGGCTGAATACGAGCAGATGATATTGCCCGAAACACTTCAGAATTCATCCTGCTGCTTTTGTCAGCAGTCACATCATCAATAAATACAAGAGAACCAGTTCCATTGGCAGCCATACATGCCCACGCCATGATACTATCACCACCATGCTTCACTGATGAGGTGGTATGCTTAGGATCATGAGCAGTTCCTGTTTTTGAGGCTCACCAATGGTTCCATCTTGTGGTGAACCCTCTGTATTCACTCTGGTGAAGTCCTCTCTTGATTGTTGACTTTGACACACATACACCTACCTCCTGGAGAGTGTTCTTGATCTGGCCAACTGTTGTGAAGGGTGTTTTCTTCACCAGGGAAAGAATTATTCGGTCATCCACCACAGTTGGTTTCGTGGTCTTCCGGGTCTTTTGGTGTTGCTGAGCTCACCGGTGCGTTCCTTCTTTTTAAGAATGTTCCAAACAGTTGTTTTGGCCACGCCTAATGTTTTTGCTATCTCTCTGATGGGTTTGTTTTGTTTTTTCAGCCTAATGATGGCTTGCTTCACTGATAGTGACAGCTCTTTGGATCTCATCTTGAGAGTTGACAGCAACAGATTCCAAATGCAAATAGCACACTTGAAATGAACTCTGGACCTTTTATCTGCTCATTGTAATTGGGATAATGAGGGAATAACACACACCTGGCCATGGAACAGCTGAGAAGCCAATTGTCCCATTACTTTTGGTCCCTTAACAGGTGGGAGGCACATATGCAAACTGTTGTAATTCCTACACTGTTCACCTGATTTGGATGTAAATACCCTCAAATTAAAGCTGGCAGTCTGCAGTTAAAGCACATCTTGTTCGATTCATTTCAAATCCATTGTGGTGGTGTATCGAGCCAAAAATGTTTAAAATTGTGTCGATGTCCCAATATTTATGGACCTGACTGTATATCTGGCCTTTTTTGAATATTGGTACTACGTTGACTTTTTGCCAATGAGCTAGTACCATTCCAGTCCCTAAGCTGTCCATAAAAATTAGGAATAATACTCTGGCTACTACCTGATAAGTTCTTTGAGGACTCTTGGGTGTAAGCCATCCAGCCCTGGAGATTTTATTTGCATTCAGCTTTTCAAGTCTTTTTCAGACACCAGCATCTGTTTACTAATTTTTAATGCAATCCTTTTAGTGTTGGAATGCAGACAATAACCCCTCCTCTGTCTTATCTATTTTTTTTAAAGGACATTTTTTTTTGCTTTTATAAACCTTTTTGCAATAAAGTTTAGCCATCCAGATGATATCAGTGTAGTTTTAGATTTATTACCCATTGGAATACACTGCCCAATACCTTTATTATGTTCTTAAAGCACTCCCATTTTTTTCTTAATGTTTCTAGAATTTGATCCCATTTATTTTCTTGTAGTATGGAGCACAACTTAGGAAAGATAGCTCTTTTGAAATTTAGTGCTCTTGCACTACGCTCATGCCTCCTTTTACTATGATTTACATTGAATGTAATTACCCTGTAAAAGCGGTTTACTAAGTTGTCCCATAATTCCACACCTGCAATTGGATAGATCTATGTTACTGCCTTTCGTGGGATCAGGAAGGATTTGTTTTCCCCTGCAGAAGCAAATTGGATCGTCCTTTGATGGGGTTTTTTTTGCCTTCCTCTGGATCAACTGTGGGTATAGGATTATAACTTTTTTTTTTTTTTTTAATGGTTGAACTGGATGGACTTTTGTCTTTTTTTTCAGCCAGACTATGTAATTTGTAACTAGTAGACCTAGCACAGCATTATTTCTAGTTGGGGCATCCACCAACTTAATTGTGAAGGTGTCCTCCAAAACATTTAAGAAATGGTGAGCCTTAAATGAGTGAGCAGTTCTTTCTGCCTAGTCGATATTTGGGTAATTGAAGTCCTCCATTATAGTAACATTGCTCTGCCTCACCGCCACCTGTCAGGAGATCCTCCTCCTCCTCCCTCAAGTTAGTAGGGTCTGTAGTATACACCCACTATTTATATCCCAAGCCCGACACTTGCGATGCAAGTCCAAAAACACCTTGAAGTGAAAAAGACCAGTCTGACAGTTCAGACAGTGATGAATGAGGAAGATTACCAGGAAATGTGCATGACAGTAAGAGCTAGAATGTGTAGGTCCAACTAATCCAGAATAAGTTACAATTCTCTTAGAGACGACAGATGTCTGGTTCCTCACTGGTGGTTGATACAAGCTACTGCTATAGAGTTGTCCAACTGCCTAGGTGAGCACCCGATTCATGAGACCAGTGCTTAGAGTGTGACAGTATAGGCTGGCCCTGCTTCTTCTTCCTGGTTGTGTTTGCCTACAGCCCCCCAGGGCAAAAATGCAGAGAAGCTGCAACAAAGAATCTTGATATGAGAAAAAAACATCTTCATAAAAAGATAAAGATAAAAAAATGAAAATCGGAAATAAGAGAAACATCCAATTTCCCAAAACACTAGCAAAAACCGAGGCATAGTGAAAGGGATTAAACTTGACTATCCTTGCAGCTTTTGTTTGCCATCTCCTGAAGGCAAAAGGAACTCAATGTTCCAGAATACTTCTCTCTTTAGCCACTTCTTGTCTTCATGCACACGCTCACATCCTTAGGAAAACAATTTTTATTTCAAACACAGCATCCAAAAACAAAAAGCAGTGAGCACTAAATAGCTATTCACCTTATTTATTACTGAATCATGTGCTTTGCCTGCAGCCTACAGCACAGGACAGAACAAATCCCAGTGGTCAAGTCACCAATACAAATCAGACTGAACTGACAAAATTCTACATTAATCACTCGACCGCTGGAAGATTTAAACATCCTCCCCCCCCCCCCCCCCCCCCCCCCATGACCAGGCCATTTTTTTTTTATACGGCACTGCGCTACTTTAACTGACAATTGCATGGTCATGCAACACTGTACACAAACAAAACTTATATCTTTTTTTCACACAAATAGAGCTTTTGTTGGTATTTAAACCCCAATGGATTTTTTATTTGTTGCACTATAAACAAATAAAGACCAAAAATTTTGAAAACTATTTTTTACTTTTTGCTATAAAGCATATCCAATAAAAATTTTTTTAAATAAAATTACTTAAAAAATTTAGGGCGAAATGTATTCTGCTATGTCTTTGATAAAGAAAAAAATCCCAATATATGTATATTGATTGGTTTGTTATTGGATTGGAAAGTTATAACGTCTACAAACTATGATATATATACTGGAATTTTTATTCATTTTTTTCTATACTAGCAATGGCGGTGTTAAAGTGGGACTGTGAGTGCAGGGGACAACCAGACACTGACATCACTAGTGACACTAATACAGTGATCAATTTTAATAATATGCACGGTCATTGTACTGACGCTGGGTGGGAAGGGGTTAACATTTGGGGCAATCAAAAGGTTAACTATGTGACTTGCAAGTATTAATTGTGTTAACTGTGTGCTGTTTTTACTAGGGATGCGTCTTTTATTCCCTGCTTTGTAGGGAGACAAAAACCGGCACATACCCGCTGTCAGTAGAGAGATCCGTGCTGTTAACGAACACAGATCTCTCTCCTGTCATCCGTTCCACCAACTGGAATAATTCATGGCCGGGACCCGCTGATGGGAATCTAAAGAAACCAATGAGAACGCAGACGGTTGGGTAAGCGCACGCACCCCCTACCCGGATGGCCTGCACTGCAGCAATAAAACTACAGTGTGTGGTCGGCAAGCGGTTAAAACATTCAGCCCTGATCTAATAGCACTTACTATCTTTATTGTTGAATAATTGGACAGAAAGCACAGGCTCCAGATCCTGCAGCTCTAGATCCTCTCTCCTCTTTCCGGATTCCAGCACCACTTTGTTGATCACATCGCCCCCTGCATTGCTAATGAAAAAAAAGCAAATTATGTGATGCGGTGTTTTTTATCCTAACACAGCCAAATGTAGAATGAAAAACAAAATGAATGGACAAAAGATCCATCTCTTGTGACTTCAGTAAATTTTGTGATCTTTTTGTTGAACCATTATAAAATTAATTAAAACTATAAAAAAATTCCTCAAATATTCGCCAAGTGTAAAGTGGGCAACATGTTAACTATCAAGTCAGACCATGATTGCCAGAAGTCATGTACAGGTTGTACAGGTAACTGCGCTCAGTTACTTTTATTTAGCTGCATGCCTAGTCCTTGCTTGTACAATGAAACTAGAGAGACGAGATTATTTTATCAGGCCTGCTTCTGAAAAACAAAATCTAGCAAGGAAAATGCTACAGAAAATGAAAAGGGAAAACAATAAAACTCCTGAAGATATTTAGATATGACAACAGAATATCATCAGTGAAATTTGGGAATGCTGGAAACCAAGAAAAGAGAAATCATGACTTCTTGCTTGTGATTCGTTGTCAGAGCAATCTAACGTTGATGAAAGACTGAAAAAACAACCCTTATAAGCACAACTGCAGCTATTTTATACAGCTGAATTACAAAGCATTTTGTGATGGGTACTTGACCTTGGATTTACAAGTTCTCTTTCAAGCAAATTTAAAATAGACATTACATCCACCCCAACACTGCTATTTATCAAATATATTTAAAAGGAACCCTGACATTCTTACCTGCTACCTGGAGCAGTCAGCTTCCACATCTGACCTACCTGTTGATTCTTAGCCTGGCAATGATGAAATCTGCATGAGGCAGAGGTGCTGACTGGCTGCTTCCTGTACAGACAGTACCTACTTCTGCCTCCCACAGAGTCCACCCCTAGCCACAGCTAGAACAAAAAACAAAGTGGCAGGGGGTTGGAAGAAGACCATGACCTCTTTGTATAGCACGTAAGCATATGAGGGATTTCAAGTAAACCCTTCCTAAAAAAAATACATATATTTATTGCTGGTCTCCATCTGAAAATGCTAGTTCCAGGGTGGATAAAAACCAATGATTTTTAAAAAAAAATAAAAGGATTTTTTTTTTAATTTAAATTGGATTTTTTTTTTTATTTAAATCGGATTTTTTTAAATAAAATGCTTTTTGAGGAAAATATATTGCCATCCAAAGGTTATTCCATCATGAAATAAAGATTCCTTTTTTAATTATGTAGAATAAGGCTGTATATGTTTAATTTTTTTGGTAAATAAATTCCATGAATCCATTCACAATGTCATGCTCTTCCAGAGGTTTTTGTAAGATTATTGGGCAGTTTCTCTGCCTACAAGATATTATCACAGATGATTTGGTTTACTTTTGCAGTTCTCAAAACTGAATTTGACTCAGCGGAGATCACATGCCTCTTCTTCACAGCAAAAATGTTATAACATGAACAGAGTTAAGAAAAAGACCTTCATCCTAACTTCTACAAACCTATGAATACAGAATCAACCCCTTCACTGCTAAGTTTCAAGAAGTTCAGTGAATAGAATAGATAGAAACAATATTTTTCTGATTGTTTGGAGTGGAATAGATCTGAACAAGAAGAAAGTGAAACTAAGTGTGAGGAGGAAGGGGCTGACAGTCTAAGTTTCTTAAAATATATATATTTTGTTTAGCCAAATTAGTTACCAAACATGGATGTTTAAGCAAATCACATATGCTGGAATGTTATTGTTTCAGTTGAATAAATCTATTTACATTGTTATTATTAAGGTAATGATTATTTTTCTCCTTCCTAAGTACAACAGAAAAGTTGTCCAAATATGAATGATTAACCTATTAAACTGGAGATAAAAAAAACTACCGTATTTTTCGCTTCATAAGACGCACTTTTTTTCCCCCCAAAAAAGGGGGGAAAATTTCAGTGCGTCTTATGGAGCGAATATAAAAGCGGCCGGTCCGGTATTTCTGCCGCCACCATGTCAGAATACCGGGCTGGCCGCTCAGCTGTTCTCTCCTGCAGGGCCTTACCTGTTCCTCGCTCCAGCGCTGCAGTCTTCCCGCGCTGGCTTCTGTGACAGCCGGGTGCCCACTGCGCATGTGCTGCGCTTTGTGAATGATCCGGTGTCTTCTGGGACACATGACAGGTCCCAGAAGGCTCCGGGTCATTCACAAAGCGCAGCGCTTCTCGCGCATGCGCAGTGGGCACCCGGCTGTCACAGAAGCCGGCCCGGGAAGAAGAGGGAAGGACAACTCCGCAGAAGTGGGAGCGGGTACCTGTCAAATTCAGGTACCCGCTCCCCCTCCCTCCCCAAAGGTCAGCTATCTCCATCTCTGCACTGTGTCCGCAGTCTCCGGTCTCCTCCTGCACTGTGTCCGCAGCTCCGGTCATCTCCTGCACTGGTCATCTCCTGCACTGTGTCCGCAGTCTCCGGTCACTGTGTCTCCTGCACTGTGTCCGCAGTCTCCGGTCATCTCCTGCCTGGTCATCTCCTGCACTGTGTCCGCAGTCTCCGGTCATCTCCTGCACTGTGTCCGCAGTCTCCGGTCATCTCCTGCACTGTGTCCGCAGTCTCTGGTCATCCCCTGTACTGTGTCTGCAGTCCATTGGTTCAGAATATTTTTTTTTCTTGTTTTTCGCCTCTAAAACCTAGGTGCGTCTTATGGTCAGGTGCATCTTATGGAGCGAAAAATACGGTAATATGAAAAGTTATTCTAAAAATCTTCATCTACTTGCATATTAAAGTTATACCAGCAAGAATTAGTCTTTATGTAGAAACCTAGGATTTAAATCAAGCCTTACTGACTAGTGATTTAAATCAAATCCACCTGGCTAGTTCCATGGCTCTTATGATCATATACTGGCTTTAATATTATCGAAGTCACTGATGCACAAGTAAGCAGATTCAGGAAGTCAAAGAGTAATCAGAGGTCCATATCTGTACACATGCTCCTTGTCATAGACTCAGACAAAAAAAACAGGGTCAGCATGACAGCCAGGCATCTAGTATTTTCAGAAATAGAGCCCACTAGTTGTCACAGTTATTTACCTGCCAGGTTCCAACGCTAGTGCCGCCTTTTAAGAAGGGTCCACATACTGGTTTGTGAAAGGGGGAGGGGGGGGGGGGGTACTGGAGTGGAGAGTACCAATTCTCAGTACCAGCTCCCATTTTCCTCAATTCTTGCCTAGGTGAGGATGGCATACCTTACCCCTCTCACGCAGTTTCATGAAACATGTTACATGTCACAAGAAGCTGCAGAACCATTAAAAAAGTACTGCGAGCGCTCACACATGTGAAATGGGAAGCCAGCTGGTGTTCCTCAGGAAGCCACGGTTGGCTCCTGTATCTACAATGGCAGCACCAAGGACCAACAGCGGTAAGAAGAACCGGCTGGAAGAACATAGTGCTGGACCCCAGGCACTGGTAAGTATCGGATTTTTAAGTCAGCAGCTACAGATATTTGTATCTGCTGAATATTAACCACTTGCCCTCCAGAGGATTTACCCCCCTTCCTAACCAGGCCATTTTTTGCGTTACGGCGCTGCGTTACTTTAACTGACAGGTCATGCAACACTGCACTTAAATTTACGTCCTTTTTTTTTTTCCCACGAATTGAGCTTTCTTTCGGTGGTATTTGATCGCCTGAGCGGTTTTAATGTTAAGAAAAAAAACAATATTTTTGACTTTTTGTTATTAATGTCCAGTAAAATTTTTTTTTGAAAAAAATCTAATTTTGTCATAAATTTAGGCCAAAATGTATTCTGCTACGTCTTTACTAAAAAAAACAATACGTGTAAATTAATTGCTTTACGCGAAAGTTACATTTTACTAGTAATGGCGGCAATCAGTGCCTTATAGCGGAACTGCAGCAGGCATTCTGACACTGGGGGGGAACTGACTTGGTGTCACTGACACCCCCAGTTACACCAATACAGTGATCAGTGCTAATAAAAAGAACTGACACTGTACTAATAGCACTGGACAGCAAGAGGTTAACATCTGGGGGCAGTCGAAGGGTTAACTGTGTGCTGGTTATGTTTTTTTTACTATGGGGCTGTGTGTTTGCGCTTCACTGTAAGCACACAGCCATTCAAAGCGGTGTGCATGAGCTGACAGGGAGGAGAACGGTTTTGTTTACTAACAGTTCTCTCCCCCCCCCCGTCGTAGATCCTTGGCAATCAATGGGCGCCGGCGAGTAATCACCGGCCGGGACCTGGTGATTGACGGCCGCGAATGGCAGTGCGGGTAGGGCGCACACGTGCCCCCTACCCAGAAATGCTAAATCAGGTGATTTCACGTACCAATGCCGCCCTGTAGTAGTATACCTGCTATAGGGCGGACGGGAAGTGGTTAAAAAAAGCAAAAAAAAGAAACGTGCGTGCGTGTGTGTTTTATTTGAAACAGCATTGTGATAGGAGGATGAGCCTAAAATCAAGCTTTGATTATTTTTTTTTTTTTTTTTTTAATTGCCTTAAATAGTTAATCATCCAGAAATTGAAAATTAATCCACAGTAAGAAGGGATTCTTTTCTTGATACCTGAGGAAAATGAAGATAGCTTTACGGTACGACACGCCGTCAATCTGCTCATAATAGTCCAGGAACGGCTTGATTGTGTCAATAAGCCCTTGATGCAACTTGTCCATCTCATCAAATATGAATATGGATCGAGGACAGCTGGAGACATTTCCACGAATCCAAGACTGTATTTGATCCTGAAAGATGAAAAAAAAAAAACCTTGGATATTAACACAGGACTGCATCAACCAAATGCTACATGGTTACAGATTGCAAACATCTTAAGAACCTTAAAGTGGAACTAAACCCACTAATTGTGTTTTTGAATATTTACCGAAAAGAAAGCTTGAGTTACAAATGTTTAATGTATGTTATCAAATCCTCAAATATAACAATGTGGCTTCCTGTAATATTTTCATTTACACTTTGCCTACTAATGCAATGCACACAGTATACTACGTTCAAAGCATAACTGGTGACACACACTCACCGGCCACTTTATTATGTACACCTTGCTAGTGTCAACAAAATATCCCCCACACCATTACACCACCACCACCAGTCTGAACCGTTGATACAAGGCAGGATGGATCCATGCTTTCAAGGTATTTATGCCAAATTCTGACCCTACCATCTCAATGTCACAGCATCCAGTCTGCCCATTCTCATCTAACATCAACAAGGCATTTTCGTCCACACAACTGACACTCATTGGATATTTTCTCTTTTTTGGACCATTCTCTGTAAACCCTAGAGATGGTTGTGCGTGGAAATTCCAATAGATTTGCAGTTTTTAAAATACTCGTCTGGCACCAACAACCATGCCATGTTCAAAGTCACTAAAATCCCCTTTCTTCCCTATTCTGATGCTGGGTTTGAACTTTAACAAGTTCCAAGTGTCTGGATTCCAGAGTTGCTGCCATGTGATTGGCAAATTAGCAATTTGTGTTACCAAGCAATTGAACAGGTGTACCTAATAAAATGGCCGGGTAGTGCAAGTCACAATTGTCAGTGTGCTTATGTCATCCTCTATGGCCTCAAATGGTTGGTATCAACTGATTACAGGTACAGTACCATGGCAAATACAAATCTAGATAGAGGCTAAGAGGGCACCGTCCTCAGCAGATAGAAGGGTTTATGCAACACTTTAAAGCAAATCTTCACCTAAAAGGGGAAATTCTACTTGTTTGCATCCTCCCCCCTCCACTGCCACATTTGGCACTTTTTTTTTGGGGGGAGGGGGGGGGGAACAGGTACCTGGTTTTGACAGGTACCCGCTCCCCCTTCTGGGTAAGATCGCAGCGGCGATTATTTTGCCCCTCCTCCTCCCCCAACAGCCTTCTGGGTTACACACAGGTTCCAGAAGACCAGTCACACAGCACAGCATGGCACGCACAGAAAGAAACCGGCTGTGAAACCAAAAGGCTTCACTGCAGGTTTCTCTTAACCTGGCTCCTGTATTCAAAGCCGACTGAAGAATCGGCTCAAGTGAGAACATCGCTGGATCCCTGGACAGGTAAGTGTCCTTATATTAAAAGTCAGCAGATACAGTATTTGTTAAGGATGCACCAAAATTTCGGTTTCCGAATTGTTTCGGCCGAAATAAGCAATATTAGCATTTTGCCGATATAAAAAAAAACAAACAAACCCATACAGGTGCCAAAAATGTCCTTTGGCCAGTGCTGTAGAGGAGAGGAGATTAAGAGAGTGCCACTGCATTTTGATTCTGCCCTGCTCCGTTCTGACCGGGGAGAGATGTGGGTTGCGCTGACACCCTCCTCCTGCAGGAGGGAGGCGCAGCTGTGCCTTGGCGAATGCGCAGTGTTAGTGGCTGCACTGCTTGATGGACCGAGCTGGAATGCTTTTAAGTTAGCTGCATTGTGAGGAAAGCAGGCTATGCATGGAGCTGGTTTTAGGGGCCGCAGGCTATACATAAAATGGGTGTCAAGGGGGTCGTGACACCCATTGCATGCACAGCCTGCGCACCTGACACCCTTTAACTTCTTCCCAGCATGCCTATTGTACGACGGCCAAGCGGAATCAGATCGGTTTTGGCACCAGAATTTTCATTTCGGTGCACCCCTTGTATTTGTAGCTACTGATTTAATTCAAAGCTTCCTCTAGGGTGCTCAAACGGTTTCTTTGTGAGGCCCTGTAGAACTTAAGACAAATCCCATTTGGGAAAAACTTTAAGTGAAGCTGGCCTGGTCCTGGCCAAGGCTTTAAAAAAAAAAAAAAAAAAAAAAAAAAAAAAAAAAAATCAAATAATTAGCAGCTCCTGGGATAACCTTCTCTCCAGGAATGCAGATAAAGCTGCTACTTGTGACTTAAGGGTACTTGTAGCTAACCCCTTCTCCGTTCCTTCATGGAAAAATTCCAGGACTGACACGACTCTTTTCACCTGGAAACCATTCTCTTAACACCAGGAATTATACCTCTTCCACACTTCCAGATATATCGCTCTAGTTACTTCTTTCCTGCTTGAGAGTAAGGAGGCAATAAGCTTATCCAATAACCCCTCTCTCCTTAGAAGTTCTTCCTCAAGAACCACGCTGTTAGGTTGAATCGCTCCACGTCTGGATGCAGAACTGGCCCCTTAACCAGCAAATCTTTCCTGATTGGCAGCTTCCAGGGGGGGTCTGGAAGATAGGTCTAGAAGTGTTGAGAACCAAGGCCTCTCTGGCGAGTAGGGTGCTATCAGAATTAGATTTGCTGTTTCCTGCTCGAAACTTTCAAAGTACTATAGAAATGAGCTGGAAGACTTCTTGATTCAAGCTCCACTCGGACTCTACTACCTTGCTTCTGCTCAGAAAGTCCGCCAGCCAATTCTGCGAGCCCTTTAAGTGAATGACTGAGAGGGAGGCCAAATTCTTTTCTGCCCAAGACAGGATCTCTAGTGTGAACTCCAGCAGTCCCCTGCTCCTTGTGCCCCCCTGCCTTGAAATGTAAGCCATAGCTGTTGTATTGTCCGAGAGGACCTGTATGTGTTGCCCCTTTACCGACTGCTGAAAAGAAAGAAGACCCAGTTGGATGGCCTTCAACTCTCTCGAGTTTGAGGACTTTCTGGTCTCCGCGTTGGACCACATGCTCTGTGCTGTATGATCTCCAAAGTTGGCTCCCCAACCCCATGCACTTACATCTGTCGTTCGGTGTTTGGCCCGCAGAAAAGTACCATGGCAGACCCCAAGTTGGTCGGATCTCGCCACGACCAAAACACCCTCTTCACCTTTGAAGCGATTTATATAGGTCTGTCCAGCGGATCTTAGTATGTCCATTTTTGCAGGATGTCCCACTGGAGAGGGCGGGAATGAAACCTGGCCCAATGAACTGCCGGGATGGATGCAGTAAGCAGTCCCAGGGCCGACATAGCCACTTGGACCGACACCGACAGGTTGCATTGAATCCAACTCAGGGCCGACTGAATCTGCTCTACTTTCTCCTCTGGAAGGAATATCCTCTGTTGTACAGAATCTAGGGTATATCCCACTGAATGGGGTGGGGGGGGGGGGACTCATGCGCTGCCAACTATACTCTTTACTATGATGTATAACAAATTGATAAAAAGAATGGTGTAGTGTTGTTTACACTGTTATATACTTGAAATTAATAATAAAGAGCATTAAAAAATGTGAATAGATATAAATTAATGATGTGAAACTGTATATGATCAATAAAATAGTTAATTAACCAGCTTAATTACAAATATATAAAGTGTAACATGATCCAAACAAATAAAATGCATAATTGTGACTAGGAGACAATTAAAAGTGAAATCAATAGTGACCAAGTCATACATCGTGACAAATACATCGCAAAGTTCCAGGTATAAAGATAAATAAAGATAAAATAAAAAAAATCTAGGATTTCAATTCTTCAACTTCAGATATTTTGCGTGCACAGAAACTTGTGCCAATCTATCCGTCACCATCTGCGCGGACCTCAAAAATTTGACCCCAAGCAGTCATAGAATATTGGATCACCAGATGATCTCAGGCAGGATGGATCTCTCCCTCTGAGTGGGCACAGGGTCAGCTCCCGCCGTGATCAATCACTAAATGGTCCAACACCTTTAGGGAAACTTCAAAGGCTCATATAAAAAGTTAAAAAAAGAGAACTTCCATAGTGTAGTATTTTTGTATTTGTTAACGAAATCTACAATGCCAAAAGGCTACTCACAATTTACAATAGGGTCACAGACCCATCAGGCATGTACTGTGTAAACCCACAGTTAGGTGTACATTCAAGGAGTCCAAAGATGGCGACTGCCGTCCATGCGTAATGACGTCTTCATGCTCTAGTCCGACGTGTTGCGTCACGCTGCCACGTGACTTCTTCAGGCCTATCTGGGTGACTGATAGATTGGCATAAGTTTCTGAGCACGCAAAATATATAAAGATGAAGAATTGAAATCTAGATTTTTTATTTTATCTTTATACCTGGGACTCTGTGATTTATTTATTGTCACGGTGTATGATTTGGTCACTATTTCACTTTTAATTGTCTCCTAGTCACAATTATGCATTTTATTTGTTTGGATCATATTACAATTTATATATTTGAAATTAAGCTGGCTGATTAACATTTTTTATTGATCATATACAGTGTCACATCATTAAATTTACATCTTTATTGCCTTTTATTATTAATTTCAAGTATATCACAGTGTACACAGCGCTACACCATTCCTTTATCAATATGGTATATCCCAAGCACCTTACGCTCTGGGCTGGAATCAAGTTGGATTTCTCCAGGTTCAAGAGCCATCCTAAGCTTCTCAGAGGAGCCCTAGTCACTTGAAGATTCAACAGCATCTGCGCCTTGGTTTCCGCAAACACGAGCAGGTCGTTCAAATATGGCACCACTGAAATCCCCCTCAACCTCAGAGGTTCTAGTGCTTCTGCCATGACTTTGGTGAACATCCTTGGAGAAGATGACAGGCCAAAGGGTAGGGCCTTGAACTGCAGGTGCCAGATGCACATTCCCAAAATGACCACCAGCCGGAGGAATATTTGAGAAGATTGCAGAATGTGCAGATAAGCATCCCGCAGATCGATGGTCGCCATGAAGCACCATTGGGATAGCAGCTTCCTCACTGAAAAATTGTATCCATGAGCAAGTGCTTGTACTGAATGGACTTGTTCAGTATTTTTATATTCAAAATTAAACAGAACTTCCCCGAGAGCGTTTGGACTAAAAA